TCCCCTCTTGGGGGTGATTTCTCGCTTTCTCTCTTTCTGGTGAGCACACATGCCCTATAGCTAAATAAATAAATAAAATCTCTCCAAAAAAGATCGAAAGTCTTGACACCCACTAGCGTGTCTTCCCACTGGGCACTGCCTATTATTAATCTAGGTTCTGCAGGTCCCAAAGAGCTCTTAGCAAAATCCTGACCCTCGAGAAAGGGATAAAATTTCTAAAATGTTCACGAGGCTAGCTCCGTGGCACAGTGGTAATGCACTGCTCAGGGGAAGCCTGATCCCCCATGAGGGAGGCCACAGTTTGAGTCCCCAGACTGGTCCCCAGCATGCACAGGCCCCAGAACCTGAGGTACCAGAGGCCAGAAGGAAGGAGACTGCAGTGGAGGTGCCCGTTTACCTGTCTTTCTGTCTCTCATGTGTGCACACACTGTCCATCATGAATAAAGAAAAACCGTTCATGGGAAACTTCTTTTTTTAAATTTTTTTCTTTATTTTATTTTATTTTAATTGTTAAGAAAGTTTTTGCTACAGAGCACATAAGCTTGCCGGAGAGTCAGAGAGAAAGAGACAAAAAGCAAAAAATCACCCTCCCCAGGGGTGTGGCCATGCTGCAATCCCTTCTTCTTCATTCTCCTCTTGGAATTGTGGGCACGCACACACACACGCCTGACATGAGTTTTAAGTCGCCAGATCTGGAACTCGAACCAAGGCCAACTATGTGGGATTCCAGCGATGTAACCATTACGCCATCTGTTGGCCCCAGTTGGAAACTTCTTGAGGGCTAGTCACTCCCAGAGTTCTTGAAATACATTAGCCACCCCACTACTTTCTGCTCCCGACAGAGGACCTTGATTTATCATCTGGGTGACTTTGCCACCACTGGAGCAGGAAGCATGTAGTAGATGGGCAGGGCCAGCAGGGGGCGTGGTGGCTAAGGCGTCTGAATCCCACATGGCTGACTGTGCGGTTCCAGTCCTAGACCTGGTGGCTTGAGAAACACACCTGCTATGTGTGTGTGCATGTCTGAAATCCTGAGAGGAGTATGGGAAAGGGACTGTGACATGGCCATCCTGCCCTCCTGGGCATTTCTCTCTCTCTCTGTCCATCTCTCTTCAGCAAGCCCATGCGACTTTAATACATTTTTAAAAAGAAAGAGTAAAAGCCTGGGTCTTGGCACCCAACACATTTGGGTTCAAGGTGCTTCACTTCATCCATCAAACCTAAATAATCTACCTTGGTATGTCGTTACGATTATTAGGTGCTGCCTGTGAAGTGCTCAGCATACACTAAGTACCCACTAGTTGGTATCGACTTCTTACCCTCCACCGGAGGTGCTTCCCAAGTTTACCATTAGTTCTCTGCCGGCTGATGCTTCAAGACCCAGTGCCCAAGGCAGCTCCCTCAATCCCTGCCAAGCAAGTTCAGTTCGGAGGGATCAGCCCTGACTGAGCACCTTCTACCTAAACCCAGATTCCCAGGTTCAAGCCCACCCTCTCTCAGTACCTAGTAAAGTACGCAGAACCGAGGTTCCTGGAACAAGACTGGTACCTGCCAGTTCAGC